GGCACACGCTGTGACCCACTGCCTTCTCACCGGCCCCTGACTCTTGGTTACAAACTTGGGGTTGGAGAAGAAGCCACTGGTGTCCAAGAGGGCAGCAGAAGCCCTGGCAAGGCCCAACTATTACATGCAAGGGAAAAACCCAGCCAGTGGTGGGGAAAAGCCATGCCTTCTCCCCGTCCCACTGCACTGCCCCCAACAAGTCATCATAAGCCAAGGCAAACAAGGGGAGCAGAGCAGCCCAAGCCCTTCCTCACCTGCACACCAAGCCAGCTGGTGCACAGTTCTGACCCCCTTCTCTGCTACCCTCACGGGGGTTTTCGTCAGGCTGGCTCCCCCCTGCCCCACACCCAGCCCAGGACAGGGTGGGTGGCACAGGCTGTCGGCAAGGCCGGGGCCCATCTCACAATCACCCCCCAGCCCCATCCAAAAGCAACTTGGCTGAAGAACTAATCCTGTTCCCCCTCAGCCAAAGGGGCAATCTCCGGTGCCACACCCGGGCATGGCCATGCGATGCCCGGCACCAGGAGCATCCCCCGGCTGTGGGCTCACCTGCAAACTGGGTGTAGACCGTGTCCTGAAGGAAGGTGGCACATCCAAAGTCAAGGAGCTTCGCCTCTCCAGTGGCCAGGTCGAGGAGGATGTTCTGGGGCTTGATGTCCCGGTGCAGGACGCCGCAGCTGGTGCAGTGCCGCACGGCCTTCAGCACCTGGCGGAACAGCCCCCACGCCATCTCCTCCGGCAGGAACCTCCACGCCGTGATTACGCGAGAGAGGTCCCGAGAGCGCTCCGGACGCTCCATCACCAACAAGAAACTGTTGGGGAGCTCGAACCACTCCAGGAGCTGGATGACACCACGAAACCCACTGGACACCTTGTCCAGCAGCACGATCTCCAGGGGGGCCAGGGTGCCGTCGGGCTGCGGGGGGACCACGGGGTCGTCAGTGGGGCTGATGCCGTGCCTGTCTGCCTGCTACCCCTCTGCCAGCCCTGGATGCTCCCCGTCCCCCACCCACCCCACGCCCACTCTCCCTCCAGGTGTCCCGGCGGCTTCCACCCTCCCGGGCTCGGCTCGTCCCCGCCCGTCCCGCCCCGCTTTCTCCCGCTGGCCCCGCTCGCTCACCAGCTCGCCCCAGCGCCGGATGAGATCCCGGGGCACGGCTTTGATGGCCACCTGCAAGCCAAGGGGAACGGCGGGTTGAGCTCGCCGCCCGTCCCGCTCTCCTCCTCCTTCTCCTCCTCCTCCTCCTCCTCCTGCACTCACCGGGGCTCCGTCCGCCAGGCGGGTCCCCGCGTAGACGCGGCCGAAGCCGCCGCTGCCCAGCAGCGAACCCAGCCGGTAGCGCTTCTGCAGGGGCCCCTTCGCCTTCCGTGCGGGCGAGACGTGGCCGTCAGCGTTCGGGCCGGGGCCCGGCACGGCCCCCGAGCGCCCCTCGAGCGGCCCGGGCCGGGCTTCCCCACCCGCAGCGGGCAGCGGCGGCTCGCTGCCGGCGGCCGGGCTGGCGAGCGGCGGAGCTCTGGTCGGGGAAGCCGCCGAGGAGGCGGCAGCGGCCGCGGCCCCCGCCGGCCCCGGCAGGGGCCGGGCTCGAGCCGGGCGGAGCCAAGCGGCGGCGACGCCGAGCCCGCCCCACAGCCCATCCCACAGCCCATCCCACAGCCCGTCCCACAGCCCATCCCACAGCCCGCCCCACAGCCCGCCCCACAGCCCATCCCACAGCCCATCCCACAGCCCGTCCCACAGCCCATCCCACAGCCCATCCCACAGGAGCGCCCAGCAGCGCCACAGCCGGCGCGCCGGGAGCCGGGCGAGGGCGGGACCGCGCCGGGCCGCCCAGGGCCGGGGACGGGGCGGCCCCGCCCGGCAGAGGGGAACGGCCGGGGCCATGGCCCGGGCCGGCAAGGGGAGGGGGGACCGGGAACGGGACAGGGACACCGGGACAGGGACACCAGGACAGGGACACCGGGACAGGGACACCGGGACAGGGACACCGGGAGACGGAGAGGAGGAAGAGCAAGAGCAGGAGAAAGACCGAGAGCGCGTCGCTAGAGTCGCTGCTGCTGCTGCCGCTGCTGCTGCCGAAGCGCCGGGGCCGTTGGTCCGTTCGTCGGTTCGTCCGTTTGTCCATTTTTCCGTTCCCTGTTTGGCCCCCGCGCGCCCCGGGGGCAGCCCCGGCTGCAGTCACGGAGCTCCCCTTCCTCCCGCACCCATGCCGAGACCACGGGCTTTTTTAGCTGCTTTACTTTATTTTGACTTCTTTGCTGGCAATCTTGCAACTTCCCGCCGCTGCTCGGACCCCATCCCGCCCGCTCGGCCCGCGCTGCTGTCGCTTCCTCCCGGGCCAGCCGGGGTCTGGACTTGTCCCTGAAGTTTGGGAAGGGGTTTGCTCAGTGAGGAGCCCCGGGACGTCCGGCCAGCGCCAGGCAGAGCCAGCCCCGGGGGAGGGCAGAGCAGGACGATCGGCAGGGGAAATGCAGCCCTTTGGGGTCAGCGCTGCTCCCCGACCACACCAGGGCTGTTCCTGTTTTCCTGCCCGCTTCGAGGGGAAATTGGCGACTGCAGAGAGGATTAAAAAGAAGAGAATTAGAAGACTATTCTTGCTGCCGTTTGGATGCCAGTCCATGCTAATAAATGCAGGCTTAATTTGGAATGGACACGATGTAGCAGCTTTTTCAGCACCCAATATTTAACAGCTCCCTTTCAGGGGACAGTGGAAAAAGGGGGGGAGAACGGGGGAAAAGGGGGGGCTGGGACCTCCAAACTGAGCAGGGAAGGGGCTGAGACTCTGAAACCGAGCAGGGCAGAGGGGAAGAAACAGCCCCAAACCGAGCCGGGGAGGGAGCTGAGGACTGTGAGGATGATGAGAAAGGGGTGGGAGAGGGGAGAAAAGGGGTGTTGGACAGTGGGCAGGGGGACAGAGGGAGGGGGGTTCCCATATGGGTCCCCCCTGTCCCCCATCAGTTGGGCCCTGGAGCGGTTCCCTGGGGCTCTGGGAGGGGGCAGATCCGCACTGGGAATGTCCACTGCTTCTGTAACCCTTTCTGTGCTTGCTCTGGTCACGATTCTCCACAGGTGCCCAACCGTGGGGGGTGATGGGGGGACTCCCCCCACCCAGCAGCTGGTGCTGCAGCAGCTGTGGGGCAGAGGGGGGTGGGAAAGGGGGGTCCGGGGTGGCCCCCTGAGCTCCCAACCTGCTGTGGGGACAGAGGGCTGCTGGGGGAGCACCCCCTGACCTGTGTCCCTGCACACACAGGACTGTTCCAGTTCCTCGGAAATTAGCTCATACATATTCGTTGCACATTTTTACATCTTCCCGAGCTACCCCAGAGTGGGCGGTGTTCCATGGAAATCTCGGGACGCGCCTTCTGGCGCCTGCACACTTCTCTGTGGTGCTGCTCTCGGGTGGTCGCAGGGGATGAAGGCTCAAAGTCTTCCTCTCTCGCTCGCCCGGTGCCTGGGCGCGGCATCGGGCGAGCGGGGGGCGAGACCGCCCGCGGATTGACTGTGGGGGTCTCTCTGGAGGCGGGGAGCGCACAGAGCACCATGTCGGCTGTGGGGAAGTGATGGAGGAGGCGGCGGCGGGTGCACTGCACTGTGAGTGGAAAGGCTGGAGGGCTCGGGAGGGTTTAGCGGAGAGGTTCGGGGGTTCCCGAGGGGCAGAGCGCGGGGCCTTGGAGCCCTCTTGGGCTTTCCCAACGCCCTGGCTGCACTGCGCAGGCGCGCCGGCGGAGAGCTCATAAAAGAACTACAACTCCCATGAATCCCCGCGTCACGTGCTGGACCCGCCATTTCTTTTAGAGCCACAGCGCCCCTGCCGGCCCGGCGGACCGACCTCAGGGAAAGGGGATCCTGATGCCCGCCCTGAACCCCAGAGACCGCAAAACTCAGCACACAGAGATCCTACAGGGAGGGTTCAGCAGTGCGGTTCAGGGGGTCCCCCAGCCCCCAGGGTGGGGGCCTGGTGGTGCCCCCCAAAGTCCAGGGACGAGATGTACCACATCCGGGTAAGGGGATCCCAATGTCCCCAGTAAGCCCAGTGACCTCCCAGTGACTCTCAGTACGGCCCAGTAACCCCCTCAGTGACCACCCAGTGCATCCCAGTGACCTCCCACTGCCTCCCAGTGTGGCCCAATGATCCTCCAGTGAGCACCCAGTAATCCCCGGTGTGGCCCAGTAACCTCCCAGTGTCCCCTCGTGTGTCCTGGTAATCCCCCAGGAACTCCTCAGTCATCTGCCAGTGCCCCCCAGTGTGCCCTAGTTCTCCCCCAGTCCCTCCCAGTGCCCTCCCAGCGCCTCTCAGTAACCCCCCAGTCCCTCCCAGTGCCCCCTGGTTCCCCCCAGTGTGTCCCAGTATCCCCCAGTAATCACCCAGTGCCCCACAAAGCTCCCCAACTGTCCCCAGTGTGTCCCCAGATGCCCTTGGCCTTTCTGTGAGCGTGGGGGGAAGGAGGGGTGTTTTTGGGGTGAGAGGGTCCAGGGGGCTCCTGGGGTGAGATGGAGGGTTGGGGACATCAGGGATGGGGTTTGGGGACAGTGGGGAGGGGTTTGGGGACAGTGGAATTGGGGGTGTCGGAGGGGGATTGGGGCCATGGGGAGGCCCAGGAGACATTGGAGACACCAGGGGGGTCTCGGGGTGTCAAGGGGAGGGCTGGGGACACCAAGATGGTCTTGGGGACACCAGGGGGGTCTCAGGACTCACCTGCTCGTGGTGCTGCCCCTCCTCTCCCCCCAGCCCCATTAACCCCCCCTTCCCCAGGCGGTTCCTTTGCCCCTGGGCAGCAAAGCCCCCACTGCTTCTGCAACTGGAGAGTGTTGGAGCCGTGGACCATTAACATTCCAGTCTCTCCCAGCTCTGCATCCCAAAAGTCGAGAGGGATCAGTCTGTCACCTCAAAGTGAATCAATCCCATTGAAAATGGCTCGATCCCATTCCAAAACATCTGTTTCTTATTTTCCCTATGTAATTCTGGGGCAGCCGGTGCCACTCCTCAGCTCTCAGCAGGCTGAGGCTTGGCCTTGCACTTTTGCCTTTGCTGGATTTCTTCATCAAATATTTCTCTCTCCCTGAAAAGAAACATATGGAAGGTTTTCAATAATCTGGACATCTTTAGACCATCTGGACAAATGACAGTTTGCAGTGTTGGAACAGCTCAGCCACAACGTTTTCCCTGTTTAATCATTTATTCCCATCCCTCCCAGGAGGGAGGACACTGAACTCTTCCACAGAAACAGAAAACTAGTAACAAAAATTCAGAGACTACTGAAAACGAAAAATACCTTTTGCTCACAGGTGGCCCTTTCACGTCCTTCTCTTCTGCCTTCCTGCAATCCACGTTATCCACGGCAGCAGTTGCCTAGATCATGGCCCAAAAAAGCTTTTTAATTCATTTATAATCATTCCAGAAAACTGAATCACAGCTGGGGGGTGGGAGACCAAACAGGTGTTCAGGCGGGAGAGCCAGAGGCAGCTCCCCAGAGAGAGGCCTCAGAGATAGGGATGGAATCCATCAGACGGCCTTGGGCACTCTGTGAGAGGGAGAGAAGGAGCTGCAACTTCAGGGGAAGGACACCTGCGGTGAGCACCTGCTACCAAAGTTAAAAATGAGAAGGAAGAGACTGCTTTAGTTCACCCCACTTATGAAATAGGAATTAATTTCTAATTAAGAATGACAGTGTGTTGTTAGAAAAATTTGACTAGTGTGGATAAGTTAGAAAAAGTGTGACAGTGTGTTAAATAGGTCCATGCGTGCCTCCTTCCCTGTAGCCTAGAAATTCCTGCGCTAGGTGGGATAAAAAAGCTTTACTGTAAACATTGCATGCCTTTTCTGCCATTTTGGGGTGGACGAGGAGGACGGAAGAATAAAACTTCTATTTTTAGTGACACAGTCAGATTGTCTTTATTAACAGCCAAGAATAGTAAAAGAGTTTAAAACTGTGTCAGGACAGATTTTAGGCATCGGCAGGTCTCCACAATTCCTTTAGTTCCATGAGGCTCTGCAGTGTCACAACTGGCCCTTGACTCCATGAGGTTCCAAAAAGTCCCAGGGTTCCTTTGGCTCCATGAGGCCCTGGAGTGTCAAAATGGCCTCTTGATTCCTTGAGGTTCCACAGTGTCCCAGAATTCATTTTTTCCATGAGGCCATGGACTTTTACTCTGGAACCCTGATTCCCTGCAGCCATGCTGTGTCACAATGGCCCCTTGGTTCCAGGAGATCCTACAGTGTTCCAGGGTTCCTTCTGGAGCATGAGACCCTGCAGTGTCACAGGTGCCCCTTGATTCCATGATATTCCACAGGTTCCTCTGATTCCATGAGGCCCCACATGTCACAAAGGCCCCTTGATTCCAGGAGGTTCCACAGTGTCCCAAGGGTCCCTTGAGCTCCGTGGGGCTCTTTGACATCCCGTGACCTCCCGGCTCTTTAGGAGCCCTGAGAACTTCAACAGGGGGAAGTGCCGGATTCTGCCCTGGGATGGGGCAACCCCGCATGGACGGACAGACTGGGAAGGAGAGGCTGGAAAGCAGGGCCGGGAAAGGGCCCTGGGGGTGCTGGTGGGTGGCCAGTTGGCCCTGAGTCAGCAGTGCCCTGGCAGCCAGGAGGGCCAAGCCTGTCCTGGGGGCATCAGGCCCAGCATGGCCGGCCGGGCCAGGGAGGGGATTGTCCCGCTCTGCTCTGCCCTGGGGCGGCCTCACCTGCACCATTGGGGCAGTTTGGGGGGACACAATGGAAGGGAGAGATTGAGCCATTGGAGAGTGTCCAAAGGAGGGCAAGGGAGATGGGGAAGGGCCTTGGGGGGAAGGCGTGTGAGGACACTGAGGGCACTTGGTGTGTTCAGCTGGAGAAGAGGAGACTGAGGGGAGACCTCACTGCAGGTCCAACTTCCTGGGGAGGGGCAGAGCAGGGGCAGGCCCTGAGCTCTGCTCTGGGGGGACCAGGGACAGGACTGAGGGAATGGCCTGAAGTTGTGTCAGGTCAGGGTTAGGTTGGATCTTAGACAAAAGATTCTTTCCCCAGAGGGTGGTTGGGCACTGACCAGGCTCCCCAGGGCAGTGGGCACAGCACCAAGGCTGACAGAGCTCAAGAAGTGTTTGGATGATCCTCTCAGGCTCATAATGTGACCCTTGGGGATG